GTCAGTAGCAGGCTTGACCTCTCGCTTCTTTGAAGGAGGCCCGTCCTTGGCTCCCAGCCCCCTTTCTTCCACCTTCGGGTCCCTCTCTGCCCAGCCTTTCTGGTCCCCAAAGGATTGAGACTTACCTTGGCAATGACTTTTTGCCTGAAGATCTCTGAGTTGGCAAAGTAGAGAGGAGAGCAGTAAGTGACGATCTTAATCCCCTGGATTTCCTGGACCTGTGACAGGGAGACTGAGTTCAGGTAGCGGAAATGTCCTTATTGACTTTTTATTTAAAAATTCCTCTTTTATTTGGGGGTGGGGGAGGGCAAAAGAGGAAATTCATAGGCTTGGATTACACACCCGATTGTAGGTCTTGGGATTCACATAAATGTCCATGTCCATGACCTGGGCCAAAGCATAGCCATTTCGACTGGGTGAAGAAGAAAAAAACGTAAGTGAATGCTAACCGCGAATGGGCCTGGAGGGATACGGGCTGGGGGCTGGGAGCTGGGGCAGGGGCAGGGCAGGGTCCCTTCTGTACCCCTGGGCTTGCTGTGTTTGTCCTTGGGCACTGGGGACACATGTCTGGTGGCTGAACTAGAACCAGAGGGATGACAGGCCCTTGACACAGCTCCTAGACTAGGGCTGAGTGGGAGAGAAGGGGTGGCGGTACACATGGTGACAAGCTTAAGTGGCCCTAACGGTTCTTCCTGGTCTTGAGTTCTCAAAAGGAGAAGGCAGGGTTTCCCTAACATTTAGCATCCTTCTTACCCTGGCCTGGACACCCTGGAATGTTCTATTTAATCTTTTTATAGGAAGGACACGGCATCTGTCCTCTGGGCTCATATTCCCCTGGGTAGGGTCCCATGTGATCTGGTGTCTGGCAGGTCCTTTGGAAGGACACTGAGTCTTACCCACCTGCTCTTCCCCTACTTTCTCCAGCCCCCAGCCCTCCAAGACCGCGATGGCTTCCTCTGGGGTTTCCAGGATATGGGAAGTCAGGCAGCCCAGCCTGTGCCCATAGTCCTGCCTGGGTTGGGCTCTCCTCAGGCCCAGCAGCAGCTCCTGTGCCAGGCCCAGAAGGCAGCAGGGTTTGGTGGACTGGGCCAGGGCTCAGCATGGGAGCCCTTGGCAGGCTGGCTCGGGTCCTCCCTTCAACCCCCGTGGTGTCTTGGGGAGGGGCTGTTACTTACAACTGGGTCTGGAAGACCACAACCAGGACGGAGAAGGCGACACCCACTGCCACACCGTAAGGCAGGCTCAAGAAGAAGGAGGAGAGGAAGCTCACCACCCAGACACACTGTGAGGAAAGAGATATGAAAGCAGACCTGGGAAGAAAACTGCCTCTTTCAGGAAGTCTTCCTGGATTTGCCGAGGTCATTCTCTGCCAGCACAACCCAGAGCCACCCTTCCACTTTCATGACAGTTTTGCACTGTTTTATGTTTTGGTTACATTTGTCCCTTTCCCTCAGATTGAGTGTGACCCCCTGGTCTTGTCTTGTTTTTAATAGACAAGCCCAGCACACCCAGGTCTTTGAGGGCATAATGATCAGAGCAAGAGTCCTGGGTCGGTCCTGAGTTCCAAGTTCCGTTCTCCTACTTCTAGCTATGTGAGCCTGAGATGCCTAATCCACAAAGGGGGGACAATAGTACCTGCTTCATGAACGGATTACCGAGTTAAGAAACATAGAGGTTCCAGCCTAGAGATGGGCACCCACTGGGTGACCAATAGGCATGAGTACCCTTTCTCCACCTCCCAGTAGCTGTGAATGCCCAACACGGGCTTAGAGAGGCTTCCTGGCCTGATGGCCTGGGGGCCTGGTGGGTGACAGGCAGAATTGGATTCAGTTTTGATTGTTGGCCCCTATGCTCCGTTAGAGTCCCCCAAATAGCTCAAAAGAAAATAAGTCTACCCAATTTCATAGAGAATTGTGAGGAACAGATGGGAACCCAAAGCACTATGAATAGTCAGGATTAATTGCCATAGCCAGGGATTGCTGGGATGGAGTAAAAGCAAATCCATGGGCTGGGAATTGGGACATCAATTCTCTCCTTTCCTCACCACTCACTCACTCACTCACTCACCTGTCTACTACGGGAGCCAGGTGGATCACTCACTTCTCTGGCTCCCACAGGAGACAGCCCAGCCCAGAGGTTTGGAGCCCAGCACGGCATAGCCAGGGATTGCTGGGATGGAGTAAAAGCAAATCCGTGGGGTGGGAATTGGGACATCAATTCTCTCCTTTCCTCACCACTCACTCACTCACTCACTCACTCACTCACTCACCCCTACTACGGGAGCCAGGTGGATCACTCACTTCTCTGGCTCCCACAGGAGACAGCCCAACCCAGAGGTTTGGAGTCCAGCACTCGGAGTTCCAATCCTGACTCCACCACTTACTACCTCTGTGGCCTTTGACGAGTTACTTAACCTCTCTGAGCCTTGGTTTCATCACCTCAGAAGGAGATTAGTAAGTTCTCTCTCGTAGGTTACGGTGGGGCTTAAGTGGGGATAACACAGTGTCGCCAATACGTGGTAGCCTCCTTCCTACTGTCCGGTGGAGAACATGACTAACTATAACGTAAGTCAGGTTTGTAGAGTCCTATGGTTACACGGTGCTTTTCCACCGTGATCTCATTTAATCTTCAGAACCAGTGTGTGATGCGGGCTTGACTGTCACCCCCACACGGATGAGGAAACAGAACTCCAGAGAAGTCTGGTAACTTGCTTAAAGCCCTGCTCTGCTGGCTTTATGTTCTAGGGTTTTTGTTTTTTTTAAAAAAAAATAATTTCTTTTGCTTTTTTTTGAACCACAAATCAAAAAAATAATAATAGCTAAGTTTTATTGAGTACAGATACAATAGTGCTTTGGGTTCCCATCTGTTCCCAGTGGTCAGCAAACTCATTAGTCAACAGAGCCAAATATCAACAGTACAATGATTGAAATTTCTTTTGAGAGCCAAATTTTTTAAACTTAAACTATATAGGTAGGTACATTGTTATTAACTTAATTAGGGCTCTCCTAAGGCTTAGGAAGAGCCACACTCAAAGGGCCAAAGAGCCGCATGTGGCTTGTGAGCCACAATTTGCCGACCACGGGTTTGGACAATGTGCCCCCTTCTTGTATTGTCTAATTTCTTCCCCCTAAGCAACCCTGGGACGGGGAGAGTATAAAATACCCATTTCACAGACGAGGAAGCTGAGACGCAGAGAGGTTAAGAGACTTGCTATTGACTACAGAGCCTGTGAACGTCTGAGTTAGGATTTGAGCACAGGGTGTCCCTCTAAAACCTGAGTTCGTAGCACCTGGCGATGCCAGTTACGGAGCAGCTCACGAGAGGGATCATTCACAGGAGAAGGGACAGGGCTGTGAGGCTGGAGAAGGGGACAGGACTCAGACAGGTAACAGAGGCCACCCAGTACCTACACAGTCTAGCTTGCTTTTCCTCCACAGGTAGTAGGGGTCGGCGAGTTGCTTGAGGGAGTTCTTGAGGTTGACAGCTATCAGGGCTCCCAGCACAGCCTAGGGAAGCAGAACATGGTTCCTGTCACTGGGGTGTCCCCTTCTTCCTGCCCTTCCTACAAACACACCTGACCCTGGAGCCTGGCAGGGCAGAGCTGGAGTTCAGAACACACAGAACCCCCAAATCTCAGCACTCAGGTTTAGGATTGGAGAGCACAGGAGCTAGAGGCAGGGGCCCCATCCCGGCCCCCCTTCCCCTCTTCTCTCATACCCATGGCCCATGCCAGTGATGGTGAACCTATGACATGTGTGTCAGAGGTGACACGCGAACTCATTTTTTTGGTTGATTTTTCTTTGTTAAATGGCACTTAAATATATAACATAAATATCAAAAATAGAAGTCTTTGTTTTATTATGGTTGCAAATATCAAATTTCTATATGTGACACGGCACCAAAGTTAGGGTTTTTCGAAATGCTGACACGCCGAGCTCAAAAGGTTCGCCATCACTGGCCCATGCCTAGAGCCTTCCTACGCTGGGGCTCATGGGTACTTGTCAACAGACTAGGGACTCAATCCTGAGGTCTGGAGGCTGGAGTCTGGGACCAGCCCTGAACTTGTGAGCTGTACCACATCACGGAGACTCTCTCAGCCTCAGTTTCCCTCACCTGTACACTGGGGAGAGTAAACAAGTGTTGTCTACGGCACAGGTTGCGATTAGGCCAAAGTGCGACAATGACAGCACTTTATAATTTGCCGCATGGCCCTGAGGGGCTGCTCTGACTGGAGTCTTTGACTGGCCTCTGCTCTCCTGCTGGGCTCTTACCTTGGGGAGAGGGTACAGATAGGACCCCAGGACCAGCATGGTGATCATCACCACCAGAGACACACACAGGCTTGCCACCTATTCAGAGAAAGAGTTGGGAATAGGGAGCATTGCTTCCGATTTGTTTCCCACAGATGCCTTGGGTGGAGTGGGGACTAGGGAAGGGGGAGAAAGGCGGGAGAAGCAGCTGGCCCGGCTTGCAGGTTTCTGGGGTTCTCTAGGGCAACTGTTCGGTTCCCCATCCTCCTCCCCTGGCACAGCGCTCACCTGGGATTTTCCTCCAGCTCCATCCACAGCCAGAGTGACGGAGAGAGCACAGCAAATGACGTGGATTTTAAAGAAGGAGCCAAAGAAGTTGCTGCAGCCCAGGGCAATCATCTCCTGCGGGACAAGGGCAGGATTAGGCGCTGGAGGTGCGGGCGTGGGGTGGCAGGGTGCGGGCCACACCGAGTCGGCCACGCAAGCTGGATCTTGGGCCTCAGACATGGCCTACTACTATAAAGCCATACACACCCAATGAAGCAGAGGTCAGCTCTTGGGGTCATCCCTTTTCCCCACTGGCAGGCAGCTTCCCTCACCTCGGTCCAGAGCCCCAAGGTATCTTTTGCCAGGGCTCTGTGGGCCCCGGCCCGTCCTGTTCAGTCCTACTGGGGGTAGCAGGACCTACCTGGTTAGAATCCACGTCATAGCCGTGCTTGCTAGCCAGGGTCCGACCCATAGCCAGGTTGATGACGTAGCCCACGATGGCCAGGGAGAAGGCTGTTCCAACCATGTCCTTCCACTGTGAAACCACAGGCAACACAGGAGTAGGGAACCTGCCAAGGAGCCAGAGGGGAGGCAGGGCCCAAGGGTGTGAGGAGAGGGAGGGCACCAAGTCCTTCAGCAACTCACAGGGAGCAGCAGGGCCCCGCTGTGTGCCAGGGTCTCACACGGTCACCCTTTCAGTCTGAGTCCTCAGTACAACGCTCTAGGGCCCTCACTCCCGTTGACAAAGTAGGAATCCGGGGCTTAGAGGACCTGGCTTGTCCAAGGTCTCAGAGGCAGTACTTGGCAGGGCCTCGTTTGTTCACACCCAGATTCTGGACTCTTTACTCTCACCAGCCCCCCGTGTCGTGAGCGTCCCCCACCCCACCTGCGGCAGCTCTGCAGCCCAGCACCGAATGGCCCCTCCCAGGGCCCAGCTGGCTGCCCGGCACAGAGTGGATGCTTAATGAATTTGGTTCGTCCCAGTAGCTTCCTGTCCACATGGATAAAAGGAGCCGATGCATTAGAACAGGGTGAAGGGCCAGATAAGGGCTGATCAGAGAGGCCTTGCTTTAAGAGCCCCATTGAATGAGACTTCCGGAGTGAGTGTGCCAGTTCCGACTCGCCGTTCATAAAACAGCCAGCCCTGGCCCCTGGTGTGGCTCTTCTCCACAATAAGTAATAGTCGCGACCCATTGCTGGGCAGTGTCATAGGGCTTAGGACGCATCTCATAGAGTTCGTCTCAGCTCGGCCTCTGAGCTCAGGCCTTGGTGGGGAGTGCCGTGGGGTTGGCGTCAGGATTTCCAGCCCCTGGACTCACCCATGTTGGATCTCCCCCACGATCTGCATGTGATACTTTTGGGGCATCTTACAGCCCCCGGAGATAGCTGTGGCCACCACCACCTGCAAACCCCAAAGTGGAGAATGGGGGTTGGTTTGAAGTTGGGGTCAGTGCAAGCATTTCTCTCAAGCCTCCCCTTTCTCTGGGGAACCCGAATCTCACTTGCCTGCCTCTGAGGGGAAGACCCCAAGGAACAGGAAGAGTGGGGCCATATTCAGGGGGGACGGAAGGGATTCACCTCTGACTTCTTGCTCTACTGGCTGACAGTGGAGGGGGTGAGGCGGGGTAAGGGCGCCCTGGCCCTGGCTGGAACTGGTATCTCTTCTCATAGCCTCTCTGACCAGGCCCTCCACACCCAGCCCCGGGTGCGGTCTTACCACAATCATCTCTGTAGGGATGGGGAAGCGGATCTTGTGCATGTAGCGAGCGTTGAGCTCCTTCACCAGCACCAGGAAGGCACCACTAATGAGGGCGAAGATGAGCGAGGCGATGTTGGTGTGGGGGAGGTTTTTGCAAATGTCAATGAAGGTCTGGTGGAGAGAGCATCATGCCTATGGGCTCCCACTGCTTCTTCCCCCACCACCCCCACCACCGGATGGCTGACCCCGTGCAGGGGTATCGTCAGTGCTCATGGAGGCACCAAAAAAGAATCCAGACCCTGATCAGGAACACGACGCCACTTCCCACCACCCTCTCCCAAAGGGCCCGTCAGGAGCTCGTGCTGGGACCCGAATGTTGATTCCCTTTCTCATCCTCTAGAAAGAGTTCAAGTTAAAGGAGGAGGGAAAAAACTAGACCTCAGGAAGGACTTCCCAGCCAGTGCAACAGGGAACTTATTAGGACTGTACCTCTCCGTTTCTGCAGGGATTAACCACAGGGGACCTCTTGGAGCCCTCAAGGTCATGGGTTTGACCCTCCCTCCCAATATGAGAACCCCCTCAGCATCCTCTCCTAACACCGGGTCAGGGTCAGCCGGCTCTTGCTCAAGAGCATCTCATGATGAGAAGCTCGTAACAACAGTGACCTTGGCTGTTGTAATGAGCCCCTCCCCATTTGCAGGGCCCTATCCTAGACTCACAAAGACGATGGAGCCTGGGCCTGTGTAGGACGGGATGGTCAGTCCAAAGATGTACTTGAGCACCGAGATCAGGATCTGCAGGCCGGCAGCCGTCATGAAGCCCCGGATGAAGGACTCGGAGAGGTAGATGGCCACAAAGCCAAACTGCACGAAGCCCAGGCCCATCTGAGGGGGGAATGACCAAGAGGGTCAGCAGCTCCCACACTTGCCTGATCCAAACCCAGGGCTGGAGTTCTGTGCAGCTCTGGGCAGCAGCAGCTCTAGGGAAATGAGTCCTTCGTGACTTGGTCTTCCTTTGTAACGTGCCAGCAGAATTTTGGTCCCTTAAGGACACTGGCCTCTTTGTCACTCCACCTGTCTGTCTTCAGTTTCCTCATCTGTGAATGAAACTGGCCCTCCCTCGGTGTTTCCTCTGTTAGTGGATGACACTGCCATCCACCCAGTTGGCCAAACAATACCTTGGGAGTCATCCCTCCCTCACCTCCCACGTCCCATCTGTAACCAGAGCCCAGTTAATTTTGCTCCTGGCAAAATGTGCCTCACGTCCACTCCTGTCTCCACGGCTTTCTCCATGACCACCCCTGGCCTAGGCCCTCGGCACCCTTGCCTGGCTGTCTGTATGGTCCCCAACAGGATTGATTCTAACCCACCTCCCACCCCTCATCTTCTCCGTAGCCCAAATGATCCTTCAACTGCCAATCAGATCTAAAGCCACAGCCTAGGGGACAGACCTCAAACATCATTGTCTGGTCCATGCCTACCTTTCTAGCCTCTTCTCTGGCCCGTCCCCAAAGGCCCCCTGCCTTCCAGACCCGCTACACTCCTTGCCTTGCCATTCCTGGTGAGTTCACCCTCTCTGAGGCCTCAGTGCTTGGGGGCACTTTTTCTCTGCCTGGACCATCCTTCCGGGCCTTATTCATTTGCTTACTGGTCACTTCTAGTCATCCTTTAAGACCCAGGTCACCTCTTCTCTTTGAGGAGAGGCGTTCCCTGACTCTTTTTGGTGTTCCCGCAGCTGTCTGTACATAGCTCTATTATGCTGCTTATCTCACTGCCTACAAACTTATCTGTTGACATGGCCATTTCCTCTGCTGGGCTGGGAGCTTCTGGAAAACGTGCCCCTTTCTTACTTATCTTTTATCCCCAGGGCCGAGCCCAGTTCCTGGCACAGTGAAATAACTAAGAAACATTAACTAAATGAATGAATGAACGAGAGGTGCCCTCTGAGTCTGCTTCCTGCGCTTGCATTCTGTCAGGCTGTGTTTTCCTTCACAAAACCCAGCAGAGTCCTTAGCGTGTGTCGAAAAAGTAATGTATGCAGGCGATGCTGTGGCTGGAGCAGTGGAGGCTGGTGGGGGATAAGAGAAGTCAGGAGGCAGGAGGACGGAGCTGGCAGAGAGCCAGGCTCTGCACAGGGAGTGGAGAGAAGCTGCGAGTGTCTGAGAGACTCCAAACGCAGGAGAGTTTTATCAGGTGTGGAAGCCGGCCGTAAGGACTTGCTGGAGGGAGGGGAGGTGATATCTGGCTTTTCAAGGTCTTTGGGGGCCCTGAGAATGGGGAAGACGGAAGAGGTAGAGCCCTAGACCAGCTTTAACGTCAAAGCTGGGTCTGAGTCAGGGGCAGGGTGGTCTGATGGCCTCCTGGCGGGGGCCCTGCAGGGATTTGGCCGTCCCCTCACCTGGATGATGGCAGTCAGGCAGGCCAGCGTTGCTGACACATGCAGCCTCTCGGCCTCCATGGCCGCAGTGTCCACGTAGGTCTGGTTGGTAGCATTGTTGAAGACCCGGAATTTTGACTCTGGGGCCAGCTGCAGACAGATGTTACCCACCAGGATACTGATAACAGCAAAGGTACCTGTGGTGCCCCACCCAGCCAGCAAAAGTCAGAGGTTTGGATCAAACCCATGGAAACCATCAAGGGGCCCAGGATTGCTCCCTGATCCCCAAGGGGATGGAGCCCCAGGGCTCCCAGGCTGCTCTCCAGCATAGCACCACGCATATCTGACCATGATCTACTGTTTCATCTCAGCTGTTAATGTTATTTTACTGGCCACCTGAGGAATTGAGCTTGGAGATTGTCCTTTCTCTGTCTCACTTAGCACCAGAGAACTCCCAATGTCCCCCTCAGTGGCCTGCTGGGACCAGCCTGGGGTTAGAAGGTAATTTCTCACAGCTGTTTAGCACTTCATGGCACACGGTTTATCTTGTTGTACCAACTCTTCCCCCAATTCCAGGGAGGAAGGCAGAACAGGTAATGCTGACTGAGCTCACAGAAGCTAAGTGTTGTCTCCAAGGTCCCGGAGGACCTGGGACGGACACAGTGATGGTCCCTTGAGAACCAACCGGCACCAGCTAGAGGAGTATGTAGGTGGAAAACCACCCGAACCCCTTTTCATACCACCCGTCTTCCTGCCTGCTGGGAGGGGAGAGGTCTTACCTGGCACCATCTGGTGTATGCCCCCCAGGAAGAAGTAGGTCAGGAGGGGGAAGAAGGAGGAGTAGAGACCGTTGACTGCAGGAAGGTTGGCTAGGAGAGCAAACGCCATGCCTACAGAGGACGAGAGAGTGAAGGCTCAGGGCGCACAGGGAGCAGCCCAAACACCACGGTTTTGATCTTGGCCGGGGAACATCTGGAGGGAAAACGGGCAGATTTCCAGTCAGCACTGCTCCGGCTTGGGCGCTCGAAGTTGGGGAGGGATTACAATATCCTGTTGCTGCTCATCATTCATTTAAAATTCATTCAAAATGCAATGAGCACGCATACTGTACAGTCTGCCAGACACTGAGAAGGAAAAGCAGGGACTTCCTCTTGAGAACCATCAGCACGCCCTGTGCATGGGCTGGAGGTCTTCTGACTGATGCCGCCTGCTCGGAAGTCTACAAGACTTGGCTTAAAGGCGGGGATTTCTTGGTGGCTTAACCTTCTGAGGTGTCAAGTCCAGGCCCCTCTCAATTGGCCTTTCTCCAGGGAAGGCTTCTCTGAGCTCCTGGCCGATGGAACACAGGCCTGGGCCCCCTTATCTGGGCTTCTTAGCTCCATGAGTGCCCCGTGTTTAATGACTTGCTTTTCATCTCCCGCGCCCACAAAACAGCAAACCCACAATGGTGAGAAGTCTGGCTCTCTTGTCATTTCTGTATACCTTGTGCACCTTGGGGCGCTCCGTAAGTATATGTTGAATAAATGAGTGAGTGAATAAGTGAAAGGGTGAGCTGGTATTGAAACTCAGTCTGGCTCAGCCGGCGTGGCTCAGTGGTTGAGTGTCTACCTATGAAGTAGGAGGTCACGGGTTCAATTCCTGGTCAGGGCTCATGCCCAGGTTTTGGGCTTGATCCCCAGTAGGGGGCATTCAGGAGGCAGCCAATCAATGATTCTCTCTCATCATTGATGTTTCTGTCTCTCTCTCCCTCTCCCTTCCTCTCTGAAATAAAAATAAATAAATAAATAAATAAATGTCCTAGCTGGTTTGGCTCAGTGGATAGAGTGTCGGCTTGCAGACTGAGGGTCCCAGGTTTGATTCCAATCAAGACCACATGCCCGGGCTGTGGGCTCCATCCCCAGTGGGGGGCATGCAGGAGGCAGTCGATCAATGATTCTCTTTCACTGATGTTTCTATCACTCTCTCTCTCTCCCTTCCTCTCTGAAATCATTAAAAATATATTCAAGAAAAAAAAGAAACAGTATGCCCAAGTGTATTTACAATAAACTATCGAGGCAGACTAAGTATTTACAGTTGTATGCATGGAAAAATAATACAATAAGTAATAAGTAATAATACAAGAATAAACTCTGTGTTTTGTGTACTCAGAACTGTAACCCTACTTTTGCCCCACCTTGTATTGTTAAACACATTTTACAGATTTAGACTCACCATTATCTTTCTACTAGTGAATGCCATATGTTTGCTTGCCAAAAGCTCTAGTTACCAGATTGTTTGCAAGGGGATCTGAGTAAGGATCCTTTTCTTCCCCTCAAGGATTCTTAGTAAAAAGAAGGGGAAGGTTACAGGCTTGTTGCTAAACCTTTCTCCTATAAAAAGTGACTGTGTTCTCACTGTAAAAATTCAAACAGCACAGAAAAGGGGGGAAAAAAGAAAAAGAAAGAAACTCAGTCTGAGTAGGGGCTGCTGCCATCTTTCTTAGAACTTCTCCAAGAGGAAGGCCCCATTGTCCCTGCAGGGTGTGCCCCGTGGACCCAGCATCCTTCATGTGTGATGACTCCAACACCAAGTGTGTCCCCCTGTTAACTCCTCTGGGAGGGAAGAATGGGAGCTGTTCATTGATTGGTGAGCGCAGGGCGGGAGAGCTGATCCCTGCCCTGTTTGTTGAACACGTCCAGGCCCTTTCATAGAAACTCAGGAGCGGTAGGAACAAGGGCCTGCACACTGGAGGGTGACAGCTGGGGGATTGATGACTAGAAGAGGGTGGGAGGCATTTGCTTTGCTTTTCCCAGTTGAGGGAACTCAGATATCCAGGGCCCAGCTGGTGACTCACTGGCCCGCTCTGATTAGGCCTCCTTTCTTGCTCTTTGCGGCTGTTTACCAATAGTTCCCCTGACACCGGGTCCCCTGGATTTCACCCAAGACTGAAATACACACAGAAAATGCTTTGCACCCTGTATAGTCTGTGCAGATTTTCTATCTGAACCAACACTCGATGGAAAAGCACCACCACCCACATCTGACTCCCTTGTCCCCTTTGGGGCAGGTGGGCGCTTCTCCCATCCCTGGGATGGTGGATGGGAGTTAGACTGGTGGCAAATAGCTTAATGCATCTCTAAAGCCTTGTCCTAAGAGAGAACCAGCCCTGCAGGAACTCTCTCAGGTTTGTGTGTGGCTGGGAAAACTGGACGAGAAACAACTCACTTGAAGGTTCATTCCTGCCCAGCCTTCCCTGCCCAGCCTTACTTGCAAGCCTGCCATGTGTTGAGCAAAACAATCTGAAACTCGAGAAAAGAGCTAGAAAGTGATGCCAAACACCTATACAGAGGCTCCAGAAGGCAAGAAGGAAGTGGGCAGAGGGATTAGCTTTCTTGACATTCATTCATTCATTCATTCATTCATTCAACAAATATTTATCGGAGCACCTTCTGAGTGCCAGGCACTGTTCAAGGCTCTCATGCCAGCCTCATGGGAATTCTTAGTTCCCTACATCCCTTCATAGTTTTCATCATCTGAAACTTTTAGGACAACAGTAGATACCCTCATCCCTCCAGTGCAGAAACAATCCAAACTTAAATTCTTTGGGCACCAAGGAGGGCAGAGCCCACCTGCCCGAGGATCACAGCTGTGGGTACAGAGCCTGAACACGAGGCCCCCAAGGCCGTGGCTGTAACTGGGCAGAGATGGAGCCTCTTAGGAGAGGTAGGGTTGGGCCCGGGCTTTTGGTGAAAACTGAAGTGGGTGATTCCCCTGCTCTGAACCAGTTCCACCTGCATCTCCACTTCAGCCATTGCCAGTGACCTCAATCCAGGTAACTGAATCAGCTGTTTCCCCTAGGGAGTGGGGAAGAGTAAGCCATTCTACAGCGAGGCCTGAGAGGGGCCTGAGCGCGGCCTGCCAGAAGTCTGGGAAGGGGGAAGGTGGAGCTGTGGCCTCAGGCTTCTGGAGTGTGGGTGTAGGTCACCCCCTTAGAGGCCAAGCTTCACTACCCACTGCCCCAGTTCCAGGGACCTGAGACCAGAAATGGCCCAGAGGCTGGAGGGACCACATCCTGGTAGGTACCCTTTAGGGGCCACCTTGGGGCATTCTCTGGACCAGGAGAAGGAAGGACCATCTAGGAGGGAAAGGGGATCAAGAGCATGGAGTGCTGGTGGCTTCAGATTTTTATTAACAAGGAGGGGATGGGACATTGCGGCAAGGGCTCTGATGCCCCCACCCCATGCTGTAGCGTGCCCATCTCTAGCTCCCTTAAGAACTCAAGAAATATTTGAGTGGGCTGAGAAGATGGCAACATCATGCA